TTTTCAAAGACATGGAAACCGTTGCATGCAACTTTTCAAAATGCAACATGCAAAACTCCACATAGTCTAGAAACTGTTGCAACTTTATGGTTTTTATATCCTTTATTCTCTTTAATCTCGTACCTGCATTAAGAGTATTTCTAGCGAAGCCCAGTTTCCGGTTTTGCACGTAACACAAAAAAGGGTGAAAGGTAAAAGAAGCGAGCGAAAAAGTTGGGAAATTTAACACTTTCATGGACGACCACTCTGATTATAGAGTAAACTGCTCAGTGCCTTTGGGTCTTAATTGACCTGGTCGGAGAGTTTCGAGCTAACTTTTTAAGTGTGTACCTACGAGGTGAATTTACTAAACAGTTTCTAGTTAATTCAGAAAGAGCCCTTTAGCAACTTTCGCGGTGTGGACACTTTGCAGCAAGTGCCTAATTTAGATTGCCATGATATTGCTCGGTTAAGCCAGGTATAAAAATTTCGCTAATCTGAATTGAATTCGTTAACCAACAAGTTGATTGAATAAACCTGGCTACAGTTAGCGAAAATTATCAGAATCGAGCAGTCTTTTTCCGTTTTGCTAGTATACTTTTACAATCACCTAACTAAGCACACATTTCAGAATTTATTTCAGATATCGTACTGAAAACCTTGTTTGGTATTAAATTTGGTCTGTTTAAAATCGGTTTATCGTTTTTTTCTGACTTGATTATAAATAAAAAATGGAAACTAACTAAAATGGATCTTTAAAACAGCCATAACTTAATTGATTTTCTGGTTCGGGTCAACATTGGCTTGAGAGTGGCCTGGAACACTAGAATCTTGTTTCTAAGGTAATTTGGACTGTTTCATATTCCAGTACATTCTACTTAATACGAATCCCAACGGTTTTCGTCTAGTGAGAATTTGCTGTTTCTATGTATGTACCTAAGTCTCCTATCCAGATTGATTTCCAAATATTTTTCGTTTCTTACTAGTGATTGTTGAGTTTTACTAGAGAACATGTTTCTATTCTATGAATGAAAATTTGGTGTGGATTGTGTGTGGTTCTTTCGCCCCTATTCGTCATTTTTCGATCTAAATTTGGATTCTGTTTAAGTTCCTTTGTCGATTTCTAGATGCCATTCATTGCGAAAGTGGCCGTATCATCTGCATTTGTGGCAGATGAGGAAAGATTGCGAAGTAAAGTGAATATAGCAATCCGGGCCAAATCAGTAATCAAAATTATGTAAGAAAAAATATGAAAGAATAAATTTGAGGAAAGATTTCTCAGTTCATAAAATAGAAATGTTTTTCCTAGTCACGCTGTATAATGTATTGGTCAATTGCAAGCAGCTCGAAACCGAAAAATTTCCTGTAATCATTTAGTAAAGTTCTATAATTTTTCTTTATGAAAAAATTATGACAAAATAATTAAATGAAATCTCGAATTAGGAAAAGATAGGTGTAGGAAATTGCTATGAAACTTGAAAAACTTGTGCTGCAGAATACAAAATAGGACATCGTGTCCCCCTTAAACTTCCAGAGTTGGCGTTAAATTTACAATTTTTTACACTGCTTAGATATAGAAAATGATTTGAAGATTCGCAGGATTAAAAGTAGCTTTGAGTTGGAACCATTTTTTGACGAAAATTTCAACATTCGAGCTGCCGAAGAAAAGTACAATGTAAAATATTCAGTAAGCGTTCGGTTTTAACAATTTTTTTTTATTGTCGTGTGAGAGCTTCTGTAATGTAAAGACAAAGTGTGATATTTTTGTCCCAGAAACCAAAACCTGTTTAGTAGCTTCTAAAGGCAAAAATTAAACAAAAAATGACTAATTTTTTTATAAGTATATCAATAAACGTTCGCTTCTAAGCAAACGATTTGTTCAAAAAATCCCCTGTTCAAGCTCCACATTTTCTCACAAGAGGACAAAGCTGCTTGTGTTTTTTCCTGTTATTAACTGCAGCCGCGATTACTAAAGGACCCTGTGCAAAAATCAGTTGGTGAAGAATCGCTTGCAAAAATAGGACAACAACCTAAATGTTCAAATTAATCGATTTTACCGTACCCACTCTTTCTAGCCGACATATTACGTCTAAGAACGGTGCTCCTTTGATCCTCATTAGCGTCAGAACGAGAGGAGAAACCCACAAAAGTCCGCGAAACATAATTTCCAATTATATTAAAGTTCCGAGATCTTTTATTAAATCCGCTTTGTTTTTATCGCTAAGGTTAAGTAGCAGACAGTCGTACGTTTAATTAAATTTCTCTTCTGCAGAGAATACCTCCAATTTGATAGAAAATTGAGGCCGTTTTGTCACTTTTTGTAGAAACGGGTCGCAGCTTTGAAGGATGTTAGAAACGTATTTAGAGAACCGTTAAAGCAAACCGCTGATCAATATTAAGGCTGCATTAGAAAAAAATAAGTTAAGTTTGAACTTTCCTCATTTTTTTAATGCCACAGAGACGAAAAGCTCAAAACATTAAACATTGAAAATAACGAATCCCTTTTCACCGCTATAAAAACGCGCTTTTGGCGATTTAGTCAGAAAAAGACCCGAATAATTGCCAAAATTCACAAACCCTTAATAAACCTCCAATATATAACTATGTTCATTATTTACGTTGCGAAAAAGTATGATAAATGGATTACTTAAACAGAAAGGAAAAACGTCGAGTTGGGAATTCAGACTGTCGGAGGACAAATAAGCCGAACGAAAGCTGAAAAATAAACAGCGAAAACTTGGGAATCAACACAAATTGTTCAAGTCAGAGAACCGTGTTAGAGCTCAGACGTTTTTCATAATAGATGTTTGTTCTCTCGATTTTGTGCGTGTCTTATGTACTTTTCGCTTACCTGAACGACAGCGATTTCGCTCAAATAAATCTCTGGATGTTACACATGAGCGTAAGGTGCTATACAGCAAACGGGAAGAAATATCTTTTACTTCATAGAACCTGAAAGGCCATTGCATAGTTCTATTCTAACGCTTTTGTACACGTTAGTTCAGTTCATCAGCTAGATATTCAATAAATTCTTTGAAGTCCTTCATAATCATGTGCACAAAACCCGTGCAAATAATAAACAAATGGTCAGAGACAGACAGATGCCTATGCAATGGTTACGTGGGAAAACAACCCTCAAGGGACCTATAATCCACACTCAAGTCCAACACCATAGAACAAGGCTTATACCATAGCCAACGCAGAACTGACTGTGAATCAAGAGTTTGGTAATCTGTGAAAGAACAGAAATAGATTATTATCACTTGTTAATATCGAATTTCCTCCTAATTTTTTTAGGATTTTTTGTTTAGATTTTATGCAATTGACAATACACAAATTGTATTGGGAGTAGAGTTGTGATAAACGGTTATTTTTCTGTAACACAGGTTTTCAACATTCCAGATTTACCTTGGTTTCAAAATGCGGTTCCAAAAGGAACATGTCACTTTTTAAATTTTTCATTAAAAATGCACAATGACAATGATATATAACGATTTCCATTATTAAAAAGATAATTCTTAACATTCGTACACTTAAAATAAAATATTCTAAAATCAAAAACAAAACACGGGTCAGAAGTAACTAGGTACTTAAAGAAAAAAAAACTGATAATAAACTAGTGATTAAATAAAATATACGGTTTATATGCGAAAATGCTTAAACTCTCATTTCCATTTAATAATCAATTAACACTTAAGAAAATAATAAATAATTCACAATAATAACAAACAGAAATGCGAAATCTGGACGAAGCATTACTCGAGTAAATTTTGGTACCACCAAAAAATACTTAAAAAAAAAGATGTCGACCTGACAATGTGTATTACTATTGAAATAACTTTCGTTTGATCTCTGACTGAATTTATATTTAAAAATGGCCAGCTTGCTTAAATGCAGGTGCAGACCCTGCTTAAAACGTTTGTTATTTTACATTTCAACTGTGATGGAATTTATGTCTTGACCCTTAGTTTGCTCACAGCACATATGCAAGTGTAAATTCTGCTCTGTTTGGTGGTAATGCGCGTATAACTCCCGAGCTAAGTTTCTTGAGAGAAATCCGTTTTTTTGAGATTTATTACAGAATTTCTATTAAATAAAATACTTATAGACTAAAAATGCCGAAAATTGCTGCTGCTCTGAATAGCTGAAAATGCTGTGTTATACCTTGCGATATCGGTATGTCATTTGCTGTCTTATGATCAAGTTTAATTTGGGTTGAATTGTCGGTGTTTAGGCAGTCCACTGTTTTTATAATTCTTGCCGGCGTTCGTTTTTTCTTCAAGATGTTGATAATATCTTCCAGTCAGACACGGTCAAATGCTTTTGTTAAATCGATAAAACATGCAAAAACGGGGATGTCGAATTCTATTGCCTTTTCTTTTATCTGCCGTATGATAGGGCGTCAGTTCTAGACCTATTTCTCCGGAAGCCCTGCTGTTCGTCTTTAACTTCGATATGTTGTTCCAGGTTATCTTTAATAAGGCCGGTGAATAATTTCATGGAGGAGCATAGGACAGTTATACCCCTGTAGTTTTCTAGGCTGGTTTTTTATCCTTTTTTGAAGATGGGTATGATGAACCTCTTGTGCCAATCGTCGGGGATTGTTTGTGAGCTTAATATTCCATTGAAGAGTTGCGTTAGTTTTTTTTGAGTTCATTACCGCCGTACTTTAGAAGTTCGTTGGGTATATTGTATATATACCCGGTGCTTTCCTATTTTTAAGCTTTATTGTTTTGTTTTTTACTTCTTCTTCCGTGAATGATATTGGGACCTTAGTTTAACCTCAGGTTAAAAGCTTCAATAATTTAAACTTGCAAACTTGTGACTTGTGACGTATTCCCGAGCGCTCTCTTATTGGCCCAAAGTTACCAGGCAACCTGTATAATTTAGGAACCTTATTACAAACCTTATTATAAACAGAGTTCCTCTGTGATTTGTGGATAATCACTGCCGCCTTCTTTCAACGAAAAGCGACGCTGCCACTTCTCAATTGCATACGCAGATAACAGAGTGATAACCTCTGTGATTACATAACCAAGTAGAAAATTGAGGTTGACATTAAATCGCTATAACTCAAAATAACATAGATTTTAATTTTCAAACTAAACTTTAAAATGTCTTTTAATTTAATAGTAAAACGCTGCATCTCTACCACCTCCGTAAATTACGGCAAAAGAAATTTCAAGAAATTTCCTCTGTTTAATAAGCGAGGGTCCAGACAATTCAAGGAGGCTCAATCGAATATCAAAACCAGAGACCCAAATTTGTTTCACAGTGAGTTTATATTGAATGAATTTAGGAGTTCCGCTTATTAATGCAAATATTCTCAATAGCCCGTGGTGTTCGAGAGGTTGGTTATTACGAACTTGATGGAAAGTTTGTTCTTATCCCAGAAAAAATTCCTGAACTTATAGTTCCAGACCTTACAGATTGCCAGGTAATCAATCATTGAAGCCTTGCCTGTTAGACCATGTTTGAATATGCATTAAATATTTTCAGTTAAAACCCTATGTTTCCTACAGAGCAGCCGATGTGGTACAATCAGAGTTTACAGCTCAAGATCTGTTTAATGTGGTGTATGCCCCAAAGATTATAAAAGATCTCAAAGAAGGGAAATTGGCTAACGACGGGAGCCCTCTCAAACCTTCACCTGAGGAAACATTAACCCCAGAAGAAGCTAAAATTAAAGCTAAACAAACGGGATCTGATATCTTTTAATTTGGCTTTCATGTAAAGCGTCTAATAAAGAAAGCAGGCTTGTATTAAAAATGATCTATATTACAATACATAACTCTTATAAACATTTGTATACACAAATTAATAATATACTGGTGGTATTAGCTAGTTAAGCCGACTAATACAACCAGTCAAGACAGTCTCACAGTTATGCAACAAGAAGATAATGGCGAACTGTAATAATAGGATAAAATATACAATAAAATATTGCTAGACCTAAATCCAAAGAATAACCCTGACTGTGATTTTATTGGAGTTTTTAATAGAGGCAGGTGTTTCATAGTGCGATAATGTGGGAGAATAATAATGTCCTATTGATTGAAAATACCTGATTGCCACCATTCAAAATTTTTAATCATAAATCTGGAAATGTAAGTGGAAATTTTGATAATACTTGACAGGTGATTTTTCTAGAGATGACTTAGGGGTATACTAAAAGCCTAGCCTAATAATCTAGGTACAACATATTCTAGATAATTCGGATGCCTGCTAACTGGAATTTTAAGTTGCTTTGTGGCTTTGATTTTAAAAAATCAGTTAGCAACCGACCTATTATTGACTCATTTATTCACTATTCTATAATATGGCGATTGCGTTGTGAAGTAAGATCAGATAAGTTGTTTTTTTAGTCGCAAGCAGTTGTCTTTATTTCACGAAACTTTGTGCTAAGGGGTGACGTAATGAGATTAGAATCTGATAATGTGCAGAAAAATGTGTATTGGAAGTAAATGCAAACAAATTACCTACTTTAGAACCAGTATGATAAAAAACAGACTGGGTAAATTACCATGAAATTATTGCTTTTTTCTCTACTTCTCACCATTGTCACTATGGCATTATCAGACTAGATAGGAAAAATAGAAGATTTGTAATAAGTAGATCACATTTTATAACTAAGAGACTTCACCCAACTTGTATTTGTTGTTGAAAATTTCGTGGCAAGTTGCCTTTAACCGCAATTTCTCTTCCGAAAATTCCGTCAAATGTCTTGTTTCTTGATCGGTTATGTACCAGGCATCCATCTATTGACTTTTTAAAATTTATAAATAAACACAAAAATCGAATAAAACCATATCACAACTTAAAATAATGCTCTATTCCAGTCTCATTCCTGAACGGCGGCGTTGGCGGCACATTTACCCTCGCAGGTTTTCTTTGGTTCTTCGTCTACTGATAATAATTTGATTTTGTTCAACTTATCAAACGCTTCAATGTACTCTTGGTCGGTCACATCCGATTGGGTCACTTGCGGTTTTGTAGTTGACAAGTATTTTTTGCACTTTTCTACCACCTGCTCATATGGTTCTCCATGCAGGAAAACCACTATAACCTACGAAACCCCTACATACACCAACTAGTCTATTTGCAGAGATAAATTAAATTCGCTATAGTCAGAAGACATCAACATTATTTTTTAGTCACGAAAGCAAATTTATACACTTCTTCTAACTCTTGATACTTTAGCCCATCATACATAAATACTTTTCGGTTGCTTTTGAACATTGTTTTAATTCAAATTGACTAAATATTCCACCATTTGTTCCCTAAATTAGAACAATGCTTCAAGTAGCCCAACCGTATATTTTTATTTAGGGGGTCACATGAGTAAAGGTCCCGGTTTTATCATGAAAATGATCAAAGTAATAGAGTGGCAAAAAAACATATAGGCAGCCAATCGGATAGAACAAGAAAAATACTATGAGATTTCTTCTTTGGCTTCGGCCTACAGATGAACCGTCTCAGGAAGATCGCCCAAGATATGCAATTTTCGAATCCAACTGTACTCTTCGCATAATACTTGTGCAAGTTTCCCTTGCTTAAAAAAATTGTTTTCACGTTTATCAACTTACCACTGTCATGTTGTCGCAACCCAAGCCAGCCATTTGGCAGTCAGGTGCCAGACAACGGGTCATCAGATTTTCACAAATGTCCTCCGGATCTAGACCTTTTGCTATATTTTCCATAACAAAGTTTAGGACTTCATTATCAGTCATGACGTCCCATATGCCGTCACATGCCAACACCACAAAGTCCCACTCGGGAGTGATTGTTTTCTCAATTACATCTGGTAGAGCTGCAAGTCATTAAGCGATTAGCAATGGGAAAGAATTGTATTCAAGTTCACTCACCTATAACGATTTGCTTCTCCGGATCTCTGTTCGGATCTCTTTTGAAAATATAATCTCCGAAAGCCCGGGACAAGGCCAAGTTTCCGTTGACCCTATTGCAATCCACCCATCCACCTGCATCGGTTATCCTTAAATATTCCTCGGAATTGACTGGCTTGTGGTCAAATGAGAGCTTTTCGAGGACTCCCCCAGCACAACCAATGGCCCTGTAAAAATATAGGGTTGATTTATTTAATTAAACTGACAGTTGGCTTTTTAAATTAAAAAAATTAAATGAATTAATTGTAACTAATTTCGCGACTTATTAGCGTGTTGGAAAATCAAATTTTAAAATGGCGATATTATATACACATATAATGAAAACGAATTCGTTTTGCGATAACATGTGGCAAAGTTAACTTTTTATTTTAATATTTTTAATTCACGCAAATCTTACATACTTTTACCATAAAATTCCATAATCTAAGTCTTACAGCAATACCACATTCCAGTTTTCGCCAAACTTACAATGGGCGCCACATGGCACTATTTCTTAATTTTTAAATAATAATAACCTTTTTGTGGCTTCCCGTATCAATCTGATTTTAAATTAAAATTATTTACCGTTCATATTTTCGTAAGAAAAGTACTCTTGTCGCTAACAGTCACCGTTTTCGAGGTTTATTCAAAAAAACTTTGAAAATTATTATGTAAAATATATTATATGTATATTGCAAAATGTGTATGATATTTTCAGAAAGAATTCACTTAAAAGTGAATTTTCGATCGACCGTGAAAGTACTGCTACTAAAACCTGACTCACCGTGTATGTTACATAAACCTTATATATTTTTCCCTATAACGAAGCCTTCTAATCGTTTTCATTCCACACTTAATAATACATTGATTTCAAGAGCCTCTTATTTTATTTGGGCTAAGCTTCTGTCATCATTCTACTTCCGAAACTGCACAGCATGCTTTTACAAATAATACGAAAACGGTAGCAAATACGAAAAAAAATGCAAGAGATAGAAAAGTTTCTAAATTAAACGAGGCATTAGCATGAAGAAAATGTTGGACTTCAGTGCGCAACATAAAAAATATATCATATTTTAAAAAATAGTACACTGTTTGAGCCATTGAACGGAAATGTAAATTGCATGAGTTCCAATAAAAAGCTAAATAACATTTATAATTTCGACACGCTGTTCTTGAAAACTGTCTTTTTGGGCGTATGTCTGTGAAGTAAAAAATTGTTATTGATGTGGGGCATAAACCCCTAAAACCTTGTACGGTTAAGTGAAAAGTATACTACTCTTATTAATCAGATTTCGACTCAAATGCATTAAACTTACCGCGAATCGCCAATATTGGCACAGTACAACTGGTTTTGTTTGATAAGTACAACGATGGCAGTGGAGCCTGATTGCTCAGTTTTCAGTGACTCTTCCTCATACATCACTTGATCGAGTTCTAAAAAGGATTTTTTTAAGGCTGTTGTTATATCACCATTTCTGAAATCAAACAATTTCATTATTGAAAGGTTTGCGTTAATTACTGCGGTCGCTCACTTGTACTCTTCTCTATTGACCACATATTTGTGCAAATGTTTCCCAGCGTACAATGAAACTTTAGCTCCGCCATGTCCATCGTAGACACCGAAAAATGCAGTGCCTGGATCATCCGGTAGCGAGAGGATGTGCGTGTGGGAGTCTTCCATGTTCACTCTCCATCCTTGCATGCAACTGGACCCAACTTGATAAGTCGAGTTTCTCACCACTGTGGTATCCTTTGTGGTTACTGGCTCTGACAGTGTTTGACCCATGGCTGTTAAAGTTCTAGACCAAAAAATGCTATCAAAAGTAGCTCTGTTGACTACCTACATTAAAGCTTCTTTTGTAAAAGAATAGTGAGTACAATGGTTACCTGCCACTTATTACAGTAAGCTTGCTAAACATTACCATCTTTTCACGCTCTTTTGACATACCTGATTAACGTGAAGAAGACTTACCTGCTTCTTTTTTGACAATTACTAAATGAAAACGCCAATAATTGATGAAAAAAATGGTATTTTTACTTGCATTATTTACCCATGACAAAACCTGGTAATTTGACAGGTAATGTTCAAATGTGAGGTTGGGTCTTGCACCACACATACTGGCGGCTAAACGTAGGAATACAATCCCACTAATGCGCATGCGTTAACTGCAGATTTTAACTGCTGATCAGCTGGGTGATTAACAGTGGAGTGGGTGCTATCTATCTCACTCTTAATCTATGGCGTTCATGTTGATGTTTCGTATTTAAAATTTTCGGTATTTGAAATCTATTATTATGTATAGATATTAGACCATCGACCTTCCAAAATTGGTGCCTGTTTCTTCTGAAATTCGGCCTTCCCAGCATAAGGCGTGCAAAGGCAACATCAAATCCCAAACTTCCTAGTACTTTCATATTAATGATAAATGTTATTATACTGATGGCTTGGGCCTGGATTTCGTCTGATCAAAAAGAGTAGATTTCATAGGATCTTTAGTACAACCATTGACTGTAGTACATGTTTCTGCGGTAAATGGTGTCTAAAATCTTATTTTTTTGAAGTGCATTTAAACAATCATAGGTATATCATATGTATGTATATTCAATAACCACTTTATCCTCCAAGCTGTGAGCCTGACTTAATTGGGGTATAAACAACCCATATTCATTTCTCTAAAGTAACGTATAAAAGAATTTCGAACACCATGTAGCCTTTACACACGAATTAAGGAAAATGCTAACTGTGATGCATAGAGAAAGTAAAATATGAGAGGTGGCGGTATAATGTTAAAACTTGGAACCGCGTTGCACTACAACCGGCTGACCGTCAGTAACGGGAAGCTTTGACGGTAAAAACAGGTATCTAGATTATCGGCTAGTTAGAAGCGGGAATTTTAAATTTTTAAAGGTACAAAATACCCCGGTTACCCAAATTTCGGTGTCTACACATGTTCTCTCGGTTATTAATGGTAATAGAAAATGTGCTGTTTACTCAACAGGGTGCAAACAAATTCCTATTTCCATTAATAATGAACCGAGACTACAATGTGTAAGGACATCGAAATTGTAACACTCAGAACACAATTTTGATCCAGATTTAAGGGGATCCATGACAGGGAATGAAATAATATATACCTAAATCAAAATAAAATAACATTTATTAAGTAAAAAAA